AGGGAGAAGCAGGCCTCCCGCCGAGCAGGGAGCCCGATGTGGGGCTCGATCCCAGGACCCCGGGATCATGACCTGAGCTGAAGGCAGACCCTTAACGACTGAGCCACCCAGGCGCCCAAACAGGAAATCTTAAAAGGAGCTAACCAAAGAACAGTTGGGCCAGCAGCTGCCTTCTCTTTAGCAAAAACGAAGACAGAAGATAGTGGAACGATGTCCTCGAGGTGCCAGGAGGAAATTACCATCAGCCTAAAACTGTGTACCCAGCAAAGCTCTTTGAAGGACAAGGGGGAAACAGGCTTTTTTCAGATAAAAGCTGTAGGAGCTTACCACCGAAAAAAATAACCTTAATCAGAGGAACTTTTAAATCATGTTCTTCGGGAATAAGAAAAATTATCCTAGAAGTTAGGTCTGAGGTGCAAGAAGAAGTGAGGAACTACGTGCTTTAGTTGGGGAAATTACTTTAAGCAAATATCATCAAGGTAAAATAATCACGTTGACAATGTCTAAAATTGTGGGGTTTTTAAAGGACAGAATTAAAATAATCGACACGGTAGGTTGTAAGTCAGAGAGAGTGATCGGGATGTTTCAATAGCTCCCTATTTAGGACAGAGCATTAAGATATCACTCAACCCTAGGTTTTGTGAAGTTAAATACATATGGTAAGTTAAAGAATGGTTCTAGAATTCAGCACCCATCAGAATCACCTGGGAGGCTTGTTAAAATACAGACTGCTGGACCCACTCCTCAGAGCTTCTGCGGCAGGAACGCTGCGGTGGGCTCCTAGAATCTGCATCCCTAACCAGTTCCCAGGTGTTGCTGATCATACCGGCCCAGGGCCCCCACTTTGAGAACCACTGAACCAAAAGCAGAGAAATCGGGTGCTTCACTTCCAAACCAACAGAAGTGGGGAAAGGCAATGAGAAAACGAACAAAACCTTCCATCTAATGCAGCTCTGTGCAGGAAAGAGATCATATGAGCCACATATGTAATTTTAGATTTTTTGTAGACATGTTAAAAAGTAAAAACCGGTGAAATGAATTTTAATAATGTATTTGATTTAACCCAATATACCCCAAATATTGTTTCAAGATGTGATCAATATAAAAATTATTGAGATTACTTTTTCTCCTTTTTTTGGACAAAGTCTTCAAAATTCAGTGTCTATTTTATACTGTAGAGGCTTCTCAGTGTGGACGAGCCACATAACAGGTGGTCAATAGCCACATGTGGCTTGTAGCTACCCTCCTGGACAGAGCCGGTCTAGACTGCAAGTGATAGGAGACTGCAGAGGACAGAGGCCCCCACTCAGCCCCTGAGCACCCTCTGGATGCTGAGCACTTAAAGCATCATACATCACCTCATTCAGTCCTCACTTAGACCTGTGAGATTAGACATTATTATCATCCCATTTCATAGATGGTAAAAGTAAGGCTGAGAACATTCAAAACACTTCCCCAAGAGAAGCAGAAGAGCTGGCATTCAAACCCAGGTCTCTCATATTCCAATGCCAACCTCAGAACCTCACGGTTTCTGTAAAGCATTTTCTGCCAACAGACCAGAGAGTATATATTTTAGGCTCTTGGGACCAGACAATCCATCTGGTGGGGAGAAGGTAGAACCTGTTCTTCCAGAGTCAACCTCGGTCCTCCCGGTGTTCAGAAGGATCCAGACTGACGGGCCTCTTGGCGACACCTCCTCAGACTCTGCCAAGGGGCTCAGCCGGCCTCTCTAACTCACTGCCTGACTATAAATGTGAGTTATTCTCACTCGTAGGGCTGAGACAGAGGGGAAAAAAAAGCGAGGATTGATGGAATCCCAGACATAAAATCTGGCACCATAATGCCTGCATTTTAGAAATTGCCTTTAATTAATGGTTTATGACCCCAAAGACGCCCCCCTCTTCAGGCCTTCTGCAGCGTCGACTCAGAGCTCAGTCCTGGGTGGCGAGGGGGGTGGTGAATGGCTGTCTTTCTTCAGAAACCAAAATGTGTGGTTTGCTCCTAGGACCCCAGCTCGGCCTCTGGCAGCGCTCGAGCCTGGGTGCCCCAAGGAATGTGAATTGAAAGCCAGCTCTCCTCACCGGCCTGAGGCCTGTGAGCTACAGAGTGACCCACACATATTCACACACTCAGGAAGTTTGCTTTTTCTCTTTGGCCCCTTATCTGTCTTTATAGTCTTTACCTGGGGAGGCCTAGCCAAGCGCCGCCCCCCCTGGGATGGGATAGACAAGCCCACCCCTCACGTCACAGGGAGCCCTGCCTCTCCCACCTGCTGGGACGATGCACTTCTGCCCAGGTGGGGGACCCCTAAGCACCTGAGCTGAACTCAAGCCACGTTTCATCCCAGGAAGGCAGTGGGACTGAGGCAAGTCCTGAGTGCCTACTATATCTTCACATTCAGAATTTATACTAGTCATGAACCTGGGAGGTAGATAGTATTATTATTATACCCATTTTATAGATGGGAAAACTGCGGCTTTAAGGGGTCAAGAAATTGGCCCAGAGTCAAGGTCTGTTCAACTCCAAAGCCTGTTTCCACAGGCCCAGTCACACGGGCTGTGTCTTGGAATTTCGGGTAACCAGACGTGGTGATATTCGTCTCTCATCTTCCCAGAAGCAGGTGACAGAGACAGGACTCAGCTGCAGGAACAGCACAGAGACTCTGCTCTTTCCAAGCCAGGGAGGACACACCCGCGTTGTGTGCCAGAGGTTCACACCCGTAGGACCCAATCAGAAAGGCTTCCCTGCAAGCCAAACCTGTCCTGGGGAGCCAGGGACCGCAGGAGGGGCACCGAGGCCGGGCAGAGGCAGCTGTCTCACTAGGCAGAAACTCGGGGAACCCCGGGGAGGGCTGCAGAGGAAGCTGCTGGTTCCACATTCCCAGGCGTCACGGCAACACGCGCTCAGACCAGTGATCTGCTCCGGTGCTCTGTACCGTCTGCCATTTCTCTGGGGGCGGGGAAGAGGCCTTGCACCTACCCAGCATCCCCAGTCACGGAGTCCCCAGAGCAGCCCTAGGAAGGAGGCAGGTGGCAGGGAGGCATCATGCCAACCTTAGGGTGTTCGAAATGGAGGCACGAGGTATCGTGGCTGCCCACCCTGAGTTAGGTCGCTCTGCCCAGTGCCCTGCTGGACCAGGGGTGGCATCCTCCTGGCCAGCAGCCGTGGGCTCCCAAGGGCTCTTGGCTGAGCAGCTAGAGGCCCCTGGCGTTGGGGAGAAAGGTTTTGGCAGAGCTGGATGCGTGTATGGTCCCCAAGCGGATACAGCTGTTTCCAAAGAGTTTATATGGCAGGGGCAGGGAAGGGGTGAAGGAACTGGGGAGAGGAGCTTTGTCACTAGGAAAAGATTTCTATGTGTCCATTTCAAAAATAATGTACCTCAATGCAGGAAACGTGGGACACAGGAAAGTGTGCACACATTCACAAATACCCTTGCACACTCACATGTGCTCACTCACGCACAAAACAATCACATATACACTCTCACACACAATTAACCCATCACCCCTTTCCAGACACAGACTTTTAACATTTATCCAACCAGTATATGTATAAATGTATAAATATACATATATACACACAATTAGAGTTCTACATCATAGAATCATGTATCATTTTAAAAAAACAGTTGGGATTACATTGTACCTGCTGTCTTGTACTGTCCTTTTTCGCTTGGCAGTAGATTATGAACATTTTCCCATGTTAAAAGTATTCTCCAATGACACATTTCTTATTAATCACATATATTCCAATATATGAATGGGAAATTGTTCATTCAGACGAACTCCCATCAATAACTATTTGTACCGCTTCTTACTTAATTTTTCCAATTTTTGTTATAAATGTATGCATGTTTATTGTGGAACTTTGATGATACACAAAAGTATAGCAAGAGGAAATTAAGCTCATTCTTCCTGGCATCCAAGCTCAGTAACTGTAAATATCTGTGTGACTTCACACACATTGTTGTAACCACGTGCCCAGTTTGATGGATAAGCGTTTTTTTACATCGTTATAATTTACAACGTACAGTATTGGCAGGGTCCTTTCTAACCAGGCTTCTTTTTTTAATACTTGTCATTTCTCGTGGTATTGAGTTTGTGTGGGTGTTGATTTAACCCTGCTTTAGAGAAAGGGACTTTCCATCTCAGTCAAGTTCGCCCTGAACCTGGTCCGTTCATCGGGTGTGTCCGACCATGGATTGAAGAGTAGGGATGGGAAATGCTGGGGGAAAGACATTTTCGTCTATGAGAGGCTGCTCCGGAAACAAGTTTCGGTGTGTTAAAGAAGGGAGCTGAGGCTCCGTGTATCCTAAGAAAATAAATCACCCAGCCGCCCAGAGATGACTGCCACTGTATTGATTACAATAGCGAAAAATGGGGAACAGCCCATGCCCATCAACAGGAGGCAGGCGAGATAAATGAGAAAGCATCCTCTGATGAATCCTGTGCCGTCAAAAGATAGCACAGATCTCTACGGAGATGGAAGGATGTCCTCCGCGGTGTAAATGAGAACAGCGTACTACGAAACGGAGAGCGTTGTGTCTGCACGTGGGTCTGGGTGTGCTTGGAAGCGTGGGTCTGTGTGTGTTTGGAAGCGTGGGCATTTGTGTATCCCAAAGAATATTTAACTAAAACTAACAGCTGCTGTCTCTGGGTGGCGTGGGATTTGGGGCGATTTTCACTTTGTTTTATTTTCATTCTTTTCTGGATTAAGTTTTAAAAGGTCTGTTCTTTTGTCGGGGAGGGGGTGGGGGAACAGATTACTCTTGTAATGGGGGAGGGGCAGCAAAACAAAACAAAAGCCATTTTGATTTTGGAAAGAAGAAATGCACGAGGGGGAGACATCCCCGCCCTTCTCCTACCCTGGGAGTGCAGCCTCAGGGGTGCAGCCTGCCCAGTCTCTGGCTCCCCCCGCCCCCCCCCGCCCGGGAACCCTCCCCAGCTCCCTCCTCAGCCCCCTCCCCATCTCCCCACCAAGTTTGTGATTGTGTGTTGCAGATTCCGACAGCCAGTGCAGCCCCACGCGGCAGAGCCTCAGCCTGTCGGAGGGCGAGGAGCAGATGGACCGGCTGCAGCAGGTGGAGCTGGTCAGGACCACCCCCATGTCCCACTGGAAGGCCGGCACCGTCCAGGCCTGGCTGGAGGTGGTCATGGCCATGCCCATGTACGTCAAGGCCTGTGCAGAGAACGTGAAGAGCGGGAAGGTAGGGCACCTCCAGGATCCCAGCGGGAATGCCCCCTCTTCCTCCTGTGAACTTTACTAACCCAGAGCTGGCCTGCTCCACCTCAGCCCCGCACCCCCCAATCCCGGGGCGAAGAGGAGGTGTATTCTAGGAGCCAGCTGTACTGGGTTCAGGCTCCAGTGTTCACAGTAAATCATCGTGTCTCCCCGACAAGGCACATAGCCCTCTGAACCTCAGCTTTTGCATCTTTAAATTGGGCCTAATCTGCCCGTACCTGACAGAAGGGGGGCACGACTGGGCTAGAGGGCTCTACTGGCCAGGATGTGATTCCGCTCACCTCCTGGAGCAGAGCTGCTCTAAGTGCTCTGCCCGGACTGCAGAGAAGGGTGGGCAGGGAGACGGGCAGGCGCTGGGGTCCAGCCTCGTGCTAGCAGACCACTCCGGGGCTCAGCCACAGCCAGCAGCAGGTCCTGGCAGCCTCGGGTGCCCACCCCACTCCCCCTTCTGGGCGCTCAGTCCTCACCTTCCTGCGGAGCAGGTGCTGCTGAGCCTGAGTGACGAGGACCTGGAGCTGGGTCTGGGCGTGTGCAGCTCCCTGCACCGACGCAAGCTCCGGCTGGCCATCGAGGACTACCGCGACGCCGAGGCGGGCAGGAGGTGGGTCGGCACACCCGGGCACCCCGCTCGGGCTGCGCCTCCGGGGAGAAGGGAGAAGAGCCCACCCCAAGACCTCCAGATCACACGGTGGGGGCGAACGGACACTGCAGGCTGAGCCAGGGATGGGGGATGGTGGGATGTGCCCAGGAATGCCACTGGCCAAGGGGGGCCAGGCGCATCCCAGTCCCGCTCTGGGCCAGCCCTCCCCGTGGAAAGATGGAGATACAGGGAATCAGTGAGGCCCCAGTGCCCCAGGGTCCCCGCAGCCGGGAGGTGGGGGGGGGCCTCATGCACCCCCAGAACTTCTCTATCTCCGAGGGCCAGCCGAAGCAGGTCTGGGAATTCGGCCAAAATGTCTGCTCTGTCTACTTCCACCTCAACCCCAGCTCTCCCATCCCAGGGGGAGAAAGGATGGCGTAAGACAGGGAGAAGTAGAATGTGACAGAGAAGAAATGGACGCGAGGGGCTTTGTTGCCTTGTCTCCCCTAGAGGATTAGGGCCGGCTGGGAGGGGGCTCCGTTAGCAAGCACACCTGGGAATGGGCGGAGGTTCCTCCCTTCAGGTGTGTCCTGCTCTCATTGCGCACACCTTCCCCCACAAACCCCCACCTCTGTCCTACCTCCTGCCTCCCTTCTGACCTTTTGTGAGCAGGATTTGTTGGTGGGGGGAGCTCATTCACCAAGCAGCGCCAGGGAAACTGGAGCACCCCCCTCCTCGGTCCTCAGCGTGTAGAGGGGAAGAAAGAACGAGCGTAGTAAATCTGACACTTTCTGTTTTGCATAATTATCTCCTTCACTGGTTTCCCTATCGTTTTCGTGCAGTTAATTAATCAGACCTGGTGGTGTGTGCTATTATTTGCAGAAGCCGCTTTATGGATTAAAAAATGAGGGGGCTAAGGCTGGGAACTCAGGTTAGTTTGGAAGCAGAAAACCCAGTGCTTGTGTGTCCTGGAGAGGGGCCCTTGGCGTGAATCCTGGGTGGCAGCAAAGACATGTGAGATCAGATCAGAAACTCAGGTAGCAACCCAAAGCGAGCAAAGCAAGAACGTGCCAGCCTTGTCAGCAAGTCAGGACCTTGAGGGATGGCGTTGGGGGTGAAGGAGTGGGGAGGACAGTGATGGGGGGGAGGGGAGCAGCGGGCGTGAGCTTGCTTTCTCAGAGGGCTTCCCCTCCTTAGGGTCCCACAGGCACCTCACACTCATCACCTACTCCTAACCAGTGCCTCCTCTCTCCTGAATCCTCTGCCACCCAAGCTGGGGACCCTTCCTGCCCCCTTGTCCCATTCCCAATGTGGTCAGCAAACGCTGACCATTGAACGGGGTGGGGCCGCCTGCTTCACCCCGCAAAAATGCAGGATCCCTGCCCAAGTTCGCCCAAAACATGACTGCCCCCGAGAACCTCTAGGAACCAAGATGCTACAGCACCTACAAGGGGATGTGAACGGACGTGAAAGGAGTTTGAAAAATTCTGAGAGCTGAGATCGGGGCCGTCCCCACGGATCGTGGGTCTCCCACGTTAGACACCCTCAGGCTTCCTGCAGGGGGGAGGGTCAGACTCCCTGTGGAAATCTGGCTGTCTCTAACTTGCCGTGGTCTTGCTCTCCCTGGCACTTGTAGTTTCTCCAGTTGTGAAGTGAAGGGGGGTTAAATTAGAACAGCAATTCTTGTAACTTTTGGGGACCACGGCCACTCTGAGAATCTAATAAACGCTGTTGACACTTCCCCCAGAGGAGATACACAAAACATCACAACTTTGCATTCTGGGACCCTTTGACTCACTCTGGGAACTTTTAAGGGCCCATGAGCTCTAGGGTAAGAACCCCAGTGAAGTCATCTCCAAGAACACATCCTGTGTGGCTTTGGGAATGACATTGCCCTCTCCGGGCCTGGTTCCCTTATCTCTAAAATACCGCAAAATCCACCAGCCCCGTCACCAGTCGTTTTATGCACATGATTGATTTTATTTAACCGTCACAACATCAATGTGGGATAGACATTCTTACCCCCATTTTAAAGACAGAGAAAGTGAGGCCCAGAGAAATCATGGGTGCAAAGTCACGCTACAAAATGCCTAACTTCAAAGTCAGTCCCCTTTCCGTTATCCTGCAACACCTCAACGTTAAAAACATCGACAACCCCTGCTACTCGTATTTACGGAACACGGAATGCACCCCCAGACTCCGTGCTAAGGGTTTCATGTTCTCTTATCCCATTCAGCCCTCACAGCTTCTGTGAGGCAAACATGATTAGCCCCATTTTGCAGATGAGGATGCTGGGGCACAGAGACACAAGGTCCCGGAGCTACCTGTGATAGAGCCAGAATGGCCTCGTGTTTTCTGTGTTGAATCATGACCCAGATGATGTCTAAATTCTGTGCCCAAACTCGGATTTCGGGGTCTAATCCAGCCCCAGTTTGGGACGGGGACAATGCCAACTTTTATAAAACATCTGAATTACTTTTAAAGTCATGCCGTCTTGTTCGGCTTGGGTGCTTACAATAGCTCAGACCAACAGCTGGGAAAGTATTGCCAAGCCAAGGCCCCATGGGGACAACTTTAATGAAAAGAGAACCGTTTTGAAGGGCAGAAGCGCATTAACTGTCAGCATGCAGATGGATATTGCTGACTGTAAATGGCTTCCCTCAAGTAGGTTCGGCCGGTGCCCCTCCCCCACCCCATGCCACGTCTTGTTGCACCGTTGATTTGCCGAACTCCCTCAGAGAGGAGGGCTTCTGGTCCCCATCAGTGACAGCCCTAGCCCCAGGGCATCTGTTTGAAGGGAGGGCCGGGAGCTCCCACACCTGCCCGGGGCTAGACAGCCTTGACCAGTGGCTGATGGCCCTGGGAAGGGTGGCTCTGAAGTGAGGGCCTCAAGAGGGGCTGGGAGGGGGCCCACCTGGGACCTTTTCTTCTTAACGGGAGCTTGTCTTGGGTCAGAAGTTTCCAATACAGGAGCTTCATCTTGGGCGGCCTCCTGGTGGACTGGAGTCAATGCCCCACTAGCCCAGCCTTGATTTATCTTCAGTGCGTTTATAGAACAGAAGCTGGGGAGCCAGGTGGGGTCCTGCCCTCCAGGAGCTGGTGGTCTGGCCAGATGAGCAGCAGGGTTACGAGTGTAGGGATGGGGACTCCCGGGGCGGGGGAGGGGGTGCTCAGGGTGCAGAGAGGGGCTCTGACCCAGCACACGAGGGCCCTGGAAGGCTTTGGGGAGAGCGAAAGCCCAGCAGAGCCCAGTAGCAGTCAAGCAGGTGAGGAGGGAGGTGTGGGGTGGACCACGGCCAGGAGACGAGGAGGGCCTGGCCTTGGGGACAGACCCCAGCGGTCCTGGGTGGCTGAGGGGCAGGAGGAGACCGCATGAAGCTGGGAGCCCACCCTTCCTTTCCTTGGCCCCTCTTCCGGAAAAGCATCTGCTGTGTGTTGAGCACGAGGCCGGCTCTTCAGCAAAGAACATAGTCTCTGGGCTCAGATCAATTCATTTTTGAAAGTTCCATGTGTGACTGACTAGTGCTTTGAAGGAAATACTTACAGGCAGAGCAGCAGGCTAGGGGGCAACTTTATTTATTTTTAAGATTTTATTTATTTATTTGACAGAGACACAGCGAGAGAGGGAACACAAGCAGGGGGAGTGGGAGAGGGAGAAGCAGGCTTCCCGCGGAGCAGGGAGCCCGATGCGGGGCTCGATCCCAGGACCCTGGGATCATGACCTGAGCCGAAGGCAGATGCTTAACCAACTGAGCCACCCAGGCGTCCCTGTTTTCATACGTTTTTTATTTGTATGTATCATATGCTCCGTAATACATTATTATATTTGTCTTTTAAACTGTCCATTATCTTTTAAGGAGATTAGCAGATGAGAAAAATATTTAGTCAGATAGTTACCATTTCTAATCATCTTTATTCTTTAAAAAAAAATTCTGATTGTGGTAAAGTATACATATTTATCATCTTAACTAGTTTTTTTGTTTGTTTTTGTTTTGAGAGAGAAAGGGTGGAGAAAGGAAGGAGAGAGAGAGAATCTTAAGCAGGCTCCACGCCCAGTGTGGAGCCTGACACGGGGCTGGATCTCACAACCCTGAGATCATGACCTGAGCTAAAAGCAAGACTTGGACACTTAACCAACTGAGCCACCCAGGTGACCCCCCATCTTAACTGGTTTTAAGTGTACAATTCAATGGTATAAAGTAACATCCACATTGTTATGTGGCCATCACCACCATCCACATCCAGGACTCTCTTCATCTTGTAAAACTGAAACCCTATGCTCACGATAACATAATAAAGACTAACTCCCTGTTCTCCCCTCCGTGCCCCCCCCAATAATGGCAACCACCCTCTACTTTCTGCCTTTATGGTTTTAACTACTCTCAGTACCTCATTTAAGTGGAATCACACAGTATTTGTCTTTTGGGGCCTGGCTTATGTCACTTAGCATCATGTCCTCAAGATTCATCCATGTTGTAGCATGTGTCAGGATGTCCTTCCTTTTTAAAGCTGGGGCGCCTGGGTGGCTCAGTCTGTTAAGCGGCTGCCTTCGGCTCAGGTCATGATCCCAGGGTCCTGGGATCGAGCCCCCATCGGGCTCCCTGCTCCGCGGGGAGCCTGCTTCTCCCTCTCCCTCTGCCTGCCGCTCTGCCAACTTGCGCTCTCTCTCTGTTAAATAAATAAAAATTTTTAAAAATCTTTAAAGCTGAATACATTCCACTGTGTGTAGATAGCACATTTTGCTTAATCCATTCCTCTGTTCGTGGATACTTGGTGGCTTCTACATTTTAGCCACTATGAATAATGCTTCTATGAACGTGGATGTATTAATATCTCTTTGAGCCCCTGCTTTCGATTCTTTTGGGTATTTACCCAAAAGTAGAATTGCTGGATCATACGGTAATTCTATTTTTAACTTTTTGAGGAAGCGCCATACTGTTTTCCACAGAGGTTACACCATTTTAGATTCTCACCAAGAGCACACGAGGGTTCTGATTTCACCACACCACCAACACTTGTTTTCTTGGGTCTTTTAGCCATCCTAATGGGTATGAAGTGGTATCTCGTTGTAGAGAAATTTGCACCTCCCTAATGATTAGTGATGGGCATCTTTTCATCTGTTTATTGGCCACCCGTATGTCTTTTTTGGAGAAATGTCTATTCAAATCTGCCCATTTCTGAATCCAGTGGTTTTTTTATCGTGACTTCTGGAAGTTCTCCTCTTTATTCTTTCATGTGGGCCAAGTTTCCATATGGTCATTATTTTCTTGCCTCTTGAAAAAAGCCCTTCAACATTTCCTGCAGTTTATTCCTCTGATGATAAATTCTCTCAGTTTTGTTTGTTTAAAAAAAGTCTTTCCTCCCTCATTTTTAAAATAAACTTAAATTTTTTAGAGCAGTTTTAGTTTCACAGCAAAATTGAAAGGAGGGTATAGAGAGTTCCCACATCCCCCTTGCCCCCACTCCTGCACAGCCTCCCCATCATCCACATCTCCCACCGGATGGAGCATTTGTTACAGGTGAGGAACCCGCATCGATGCATCCCAATCACTCGGAGTCCATAGTTTATATGAGGGTTCACTCTTCGTGTTGTACATTCTGTGGGTTCGGACAAACATATGACATGCATCCCTCATGACAGTATCATGCTGAATAATTTCACTGCCCTAAGAAATCCCCTATTCTCCACCTGTTCATCCCTCCCTCTCCTTAACCCCTGGTAACTACTGATCTTTTGACTGTCTCCATAGTTTTGCCTGTTCCAGAATGTCATATAACCAGAATCGTACAGTATTATGATTGGCTTCTTTCACTTAGTAGGGTGCATTTAAGTTTCCTCCACTGGAAGGTTTTAAGCAGAGGATGTGCATGATCTGATTGAGGTTTTTAAAAGACCATCTGGCTACTGTGGGGAAAGTGGATGAGAAGGGGTGGGGCAGGCAGGGGGGTGCGTGGGGGAAGTAAGGAGGCAATTGCCAAAATCTATGCCAGAGGTGGTGGTAGCTTGAACCCAGAAAAGGAGAAAAAGGGACAGACACACGGACCAGAGTGACTGATAGACCTGGTGGGGGAGGGGAGACTGAGGGCAAATGAGGACCGGAGCCGGTGGATGGTGGGGAGTGGGGAAGAGCTGGGAGAGGGGACAGGGCATTTCATTTGGAGCCCATTAAATGTGAGATGCGTGACAGGCAGGAGATGCCCAAGGGGGCAGTTAGTAAGCAGCTGGGTCTCAAAAGAGAGAAGGGAGAGATGAGAATTTGGGAGTCCTCATTTACATTACATTTGTAATCCAGAGCCCTGGAAATGGGTGCCACCAGGGAACAGAGAGCGTGGGGGGAAGAAGAAAGAAAAGAAGGGGCTGTGAGGGAAGATGTGCCTATTATATGGCAGTGTCCGTCCCGAGCATGGCGGTCAGTAGCTGTTCAGTATATATTGGTGGAATGAGGGAAGGACAGCGAGGAGCCATATAGGAGCACCAGCAGGAGGGTGGTGCGGTCAGCCCTGGCCACTCTCCTGGAAGAGGAACTGGGGAGGGCTCAGAGACAGGGAGACCAGTTGGAGGGCAGAGTCCAGGGAGACACAAAGTCCCGGAGTGAGCAGTGGAGAGTGGAAAGGAGGAAGGTGAGTCAGGTGGAGCTGAAAATCCCACCGAGGCCTCCAGCTTGAGTGGCTGGTGGGCAGCTCTTAGAGATGGGTGCACAGGGAAGGGCTAGGAAGTAGGTGAAGGGTATACTATCTGGGGGCAAGGGAAGAATGCTGGTCCCGATCCCAGACCTGGGGAGGAGGGCGGTGTCACTCTGTAAGCCCATATTTCCCTATCACATCCTGATCCCTTTGTGAGGTCCCCCTACCTGGCAGCCCCACAGGTCATTTCTCAAGTCCCTCCACAGGTGGGATACGCTGTTCTCATTCCTTCTGTGCGACTGCCACCGTGTGGCGATCAGGGGAATGACAGCCGAGGGGACCTCTTGCCAGGAGCATCCACCTCTTTATGCATTTGAGAAATATTCCTTGTGCACCTACTATGTGTGCAGCACTGAGATAGGTGTGGGATACAGACAAATCTGAGATATAGCGGCGAGGAGAAAGGGCTTGAAATAGGCAAAACGGGGGGTTTTAATTCTTTTTTTTTTTAAAGATTTTATTTATTTATTTGAGGGAGAGAATGAGAGATAGAGAGCACATGAGAGGGGGGAGGGTCCAGAGGGAGAAGCAGACTCCCCGCTGAGCAGGGAGCCCGATGTGGGACTCGATCCCGGGACTCCAGGATCATGACCTGAGCCGAAGGCAGTCGCCCAACCAACTGAGCCACCCAGGCGCCCGGGGGTTTTAATTCTGATTCCGAGACATGCCGCAGTGTGACTCCGGGCAAAGTCTGAGCTTCTTGGTTTGTAGAGCGAGGAGAAACGGCCCAGGCCACAGCATCGCGGGCTTCAGGGATTCTGTAGAGGAACATGCCCAGGGGACCACACCCAGGGGCAGGCTGAGGATGCTGAGGGCTCCCGGAGCTGCCGCCTCCCTCTGCACACGTCCCTGCGGTTCTGCTGCCGTCTCTTTCCACTCCGTGTGTCTGAATGTGCTTTCTTCCCTTTTCCTGTTCCTTTTGTTTGCCTCTCTCTTAACCCCTCTCTGTTCTTTGGAGCTCACTCCCTGTTTCTCTGTCTGTCTCTGTCTTTCTCCTTCCACTCTGCATCCACCTCTCTCCCCATCTCTGCTTTGTCTCTCTTTTCCTCTCTTTCTCTCCACTGCATCCCTTTTCCTGTCCGTCTCTGTGATGTCTTGGTCCCCCACCCTACTCCGCCCTGTTCTTTTCCCTCTGTCTTCATCTCTGCCCATCTCTGCCCCATTTCTACCCGTCTCTCTGTTTCTGCCACCTGTCCCCACCCATCCGTCTCTCTGGCCATGTCTGTCCTCACCAGCCTGTCCAAAGCCGCTGACCTGGACCATCACTGGGTGGCCAAGGCCTGGCTGAATGACATCGGGCTGTCCCAGTACTCTCAGGCCTTCCAAAACCACCTGGTTGACGGGCGAATGCTGCACTCCCTGATGAAGCGGGACCTGGAGAAGCACCTGAATGTGTCCAAGAAGTTCCACCAGGTCAGCATCCTGCTGGGGATCGAGCTGCTGTACCAAGTGAACTTCAGCAGGGAGGTGAGGACCAGGGCAGGAGATGGAGGCATCTTCCACAGCCCTTCTTTCCCCACTGGCACCCATTGTCTGTCCATCCAACTATCTGCCCATCCATGCATCTAACCACACACGCATCCATCCACCTGGCCATCCATCCATCTGGCCATCCATACAACCATCCACACAGGCATCCATCCACCTGGCCATCCATCCACCTGGCCATCCATGCATCCATCCACACACGCATCCATCCACACACGCATCCATCCACGTGGCCATCCATACAACCATCCACACACGCATCCATCCACCTGGCCATCCATACAACCATCCACACATGCATCCATCCACGTGGCCATCCATACAACCATCCACACACGCATCCATCCACCTGGCCATCCATCCACCTGGCCATCCATGCATCCATCCACACAGGCATCCATCCACCTGGCCATCCATCCACCTGGCCATCCAATCCACGTGGCCATCCATACAACCATCCACACACGCATCCATCCACCTGGCCATCCATCCACCTGGCCATCCATGCATCCATCCACACAGGCATCCATCCACCTGGCCATCCATCCACCTGGCCATCCATGCATCCATCCACACATGCATCCATCCCTCCCCCTGTCCCTCCCTTCTTCCAATAGCTGCTTACTGGGCATGGGTCAGGCCCTGTGTCCAATTCAGGGGAAGTGGGGAACCCTCATCTTCCAAGAGTCCACTGCTCATCAGGGAGAACCACAAAGAAGCTGGCGCCACCATACCATGGAAAGTTGGCCCAATGAGGAAAGTCCAGGATTTTATGAAAACCCAAAGGCGTAGCTTCCAGAGGGATCAGGGAGGGCTTCCCCGAGGTAGTGACAGCTGTACTGAGAACTGAGAGAGGAATTCCAGGCATCAGTCAGCAGGAGGTGTGAGTGAAAAGCAACCTAACAGAGGGAACAGCACGAGCAAAGGCCCAGAGGACAGAATATGTGGTCCCGGCATTGGATCTGAGGTAGGGGAGTGAACGGGGAGGCCAGCTAGGTGACCAGGGACCGGGGAGGGGAGAGTCAGAGTTTGGACTCTGAGCGCCCCCTGATTCTGAGGCCTGCCATGTCAGACAGCATGGGGGGCATCTGCTTCAGCTCCCCCAGGACCCAAAGATTCCCAAGGGCCCTACAGGGCAGCGGCAGTCCAGACGGCTTACTTTTCCTAGAGTGAAGTCAGAGCACAAGCCGCTCACGGTCAGGAGAGGCCCAGAGGAGGGAGCTGTCCAGTTCTTCAGCCCTTCTCGCACACCCACTGCAGGGCCCTGGGCACCGGGAACCCCAGTCTGGTGAACCCCAGAGACGTGCAGGAAGATCGTGACAGTGAAGTGTGAATGGGCATGGTCAGGGCATGTTGGAGGAATCCATAGGCCAGGGGGCCCCTGTGTCTACCACCAGCCCGGAGCCCTTTGTCTGGGAGCCAGTCCCCCCAAGGAAGGCTGGTGAAAAGGGACCAGGCTGATCCCTCTACAGGTTGCCACGAGTGATGTTTTTTTTGTTTTTTTTTGTTTTTAAAAAAGATTTTATTTATTTATCTGACAGAGAGAGACACAGCGAGAGAGGGAACACAAGCAGGGAGAGTGGGAGAGGGAGAAGTAGGCTCCCCTCGGAGCAGGAAGCCTGACGGGGGACTCGATCCCAGGACCCTGGGATCATGACCTGAGCCGAAGGCAGACGCTCAACCGGCTGAGCCACCCAGGCGCCCCATCCATGAGTGATGTTTTGTAGGTGACACTCGTTGCCCTCAGGGGCTGGGTGGACCCACAGAAGACAGCCCCTCATGGAAGAGCCGCATTGTTGGGCCCCTACTCCATGTCAGGAAAGTGGGTTTCTGGGATATACAAACGAGGCAGCTGCTGGGGTTCTCACCCAGCCCTCCACCCCCAGAAGCAGGCTTCTCCCCATTTCCCAGAATGAAAGGCCAAGCCCCAGATGGACAGGGCCAGAGAACCCGGGGCTCAAAAGCCAGAACTCCTCCTTGTACCAGCACGCCGGGGTCCCCCCAACACCATGGATGCTCACTCCTTGGGACCTCTGTGTGCTCCCCCACCCCCAGCTGACCCACTGTCTTCCCCCCCACCCCCACAAGGCCCTCCAGGAGCGCCGCGCCCGCTGCGAGACACAGAACATAGACCCTGTGGTCTGGACCAACCAGCGGGTGCTCAAGTGGGTGCGGGACATTGACCTGAAGGTGAGGGGCTGGTGGGCGGGGGGTGGGCTGGGGGTGACTCACAGGCATCTGCAAATCCCGTGCACGTTTGTGTGTCCATTTTGCATGAGCCAGTGTTGTTGCCCAAGCTGGCGAGAAAGCCTGCCTCCTGTTTCTCAGGAAGACGGAGCACCCACCCCACCCTTACAACAGGACCCCCATTCATGATGACTTTCTCCTAGCAGGGGTGGAGAGGCTGGGCTGTCCTCTGAAGCAAGGCTGGGGTTGAATTCAGGCTCATCTCATTGCACAAGTTTTTATGGGCTGCCTGCCAAGATCTGGGAATACGTCAGTGACAAAATAGTCTTGGTCACTGTCCTCGTGGCCCTAAAAGAGTGGGGGGATCCCCCTGAGGCTTACACTAACTGGTCTCCAGGGGAACAAGCCCTTGCTGTTGGGGGCGTGTCCCCACTTGGAGCTGAGGGCACCTCAAGCCAGCAGGGCAACTCCTCAGGACACCTCAGGACAACAGGGTGGCCCTTGCAGCCTAACAGGGCAGGACACCAGGGCAGACCTGTCAAGTAACAGGGCGGCCCCCACCACAGGCTAACCAGCCTGTGCCTTGCCCTCAGGAGTACGCGGACAACCTGACCAACAGTGGCATCCATGGTGCTGTGTTGGTGCTGGAACCCACGTTCAACGCCGAGGCCATGGCTACTGCCCTGGGCATCCCCAGCGGGAAGCACATTCTCCGGAGACACCTGGCAGAAGAGATGAGCGCCATCTTCCACCCAGCCAAGTGAGTGTGGGCTGCTGGCTGCAGCTCTGTGGCTTCAGAAGCGGGTGATCCTGACTTCCCCCTGGCCCCCCCGCTTCCTGGATCCCACTTCTTCCCTACAACACAGTGGCCTCCTTTTATAGATCAGGAAACAGAGGCTCCAAGAAGCAAAGTGCTTTAGCCTGAAGGTCACAGTTGAAAAAGAGGTGGCCAGTCCAGGCAGGAAATGCTGTGGAGACAGAGGTTTGGAGGCAGGGATGAGGATACTAATGGTGCTCACGGTCCAGGTGAGCAGGCCATGTCAGCCTACCTACCCCAGGCTCCTCATCTGAAAAGTAACCAGAGAAAAAGCACCTGGACAGACAAATTAGGCCCCCTCTCTGGGGATTCTCTCCTTAAAATATTTGCAGTTAAGTTAAAGTCACCGTTTATTAGACACTTGTTATGGGCACTAATTTCATCCTCATGACAATACCAAGACATCGGTGTCATTATCCCTCCTTTATAGATGGAAATACTTGTTCGAAGGGGCCAAGGTACTTGCCCAAGGTCACACAGCTAGTCAGGAGCAGAGCCTAGATTTGTCCTTTGCTCTATTGATATGGCATATTACATTGATTTTCATACGTTGGACCAACCTTGCATTCCTAGGATAAATCACACTTTGTCCTTTTTATATGTTGCTGGACTAGGTTTGCTAGCATTTTGATGAAGATTTTTTGCATCTATATTTATAAAGGATGTTTGTAGGGGCCTTTTCTTGTGATATTTTTGTGTGGTTTTGGTATCAGAGTAATACTGGCCTCATAGGATGAGTTAGGAAGTATTCTCTCCTCTTCTGTGTTTTTTTTTTTTGGAAGAGTTTGTGAAGGATTGGTGTTCATTATTCCTTAAACATTTGGTAGAATTCACTGGTGAAACCACATGATCCTGGGCTTTTCTTTGTGGAAAGGTTTTGGTTTTTTGTTTTGCGGGGGGAGGGGTTCCTACTTCAATTTTATTTGTTATAGATCTATTCAGATTTTCTATTTCTTCTTGAATCAGTTTGAATAGTTTATATCTTTCTAGATATTTGTCTGTTTCATCTAGGTTAACTAAGTTGTTGGCATACAGTTAGTTGATTTTATAATCATTTCCCTATAATCTCACCTCTTTCTGTAGAGTTGGTAGTACTGTCTCCTCTCTCATTCCTGGTTTCAATAATTTGAGTCACTCTGTAATTCTTTATCAGTCTAGCTAAAGCTTTGTCCATTTTGTTGACAGAGCTCAGATTTGAATCTGAGGCTCTCTGAGTCAGAACCCTGAGTGCTGAGCCCCCAAACCACATGAAGCCTCAGAAAGCATCTGGACCACACCCCATGTTATACAGAAACTGAGGCTTGGGGGCTGGGGATTGTGCATCTGTGGCAACGATCCAGAAGTCTTGAACTGCCTTTCCCCATTGGCAGACTAATACCCAAGTGATTCTCAAAGTGAGGTCCACAGAGCCCTGCAGCAAAATCATTGGTGCTCTTGTAACACGCAGATCCCCTCGCCCAAACTCAAATCCATAGGACGAGTATTTACTGGGAGAGCCCAGGAATCCACATTTTTGGCATTTTGAGGTAGTTCTATGGAGACCAGAGTTTGACAAGAATACTGTTCCTTGAGCCATGACTCAACAGGTGCAGGAAAGAGGCTTTTCTCCTAAGAATTGTCCACCTTCCCTGACCTCCCTTCTGGAGCCATGTGACCTGTAATGGCCTTAACATATTCTGAGCCCTAGATAGGCAGCACTAGCTAAACATTAGCAGGCATTCATGTATCTGATTAAACCCTTGACCACCCCAGAGGTCACAGGTGCATTAAGGACTCTTTAGGATTCATGGGTGAGTACTGGGGATGTTTCTCGAAACTTCTTATGCGAAATAATGCATAAAGCAATTGGGAGAGGAACCCAGGCATGGTGAGGCACCCAACAACGCAACTATTATCAATTGTTTCCAAACCCACTACCAGCACCTCCATGGCTGCCTCTCTTTCTTCCTCTACAGGGAGATGGCTGGAATGTGGGTTCAAATCCTGACTGTGCTGCTTTCTACTATATTAGGCACAAGCAGGTGATTTCAGCCCTCTCAACCTCAGTTTCTCATCTGTAATACGGGAATATGAGTCCTCCCTCCCCAGCAGCTTTGTTAACAGGATTCAGGGAGGCAAACTGTATGCAGTGCACCGGACACAGACCCCCCCCCCGCCAACAACTGATAGTTCATGCCCCCCAACTTCACACGAGCACTGGAGTATCTCCATGACGCACTTTCTTCTGGAATTGGTTACATGGGGCCCCTCTTCCTGTCGATGTGTTCCATCTTTCTCCTTACCATTTCAGTGGGGAAGAGCAATTCCTCTATGAACTCCGAAAGACTTTACGGTCAAGCATATGGAGTAAGAGGCCTTGTCATGTCTCCCACCTCGGTGGCTGGCAGGCTTCCCAAGCTGCAGAGTCGGGGGAGGGGATTCTCCCGGGGTGGGGGGCACACTGAGATTTTCAGGCACCCATGACAAGGTGATGTGTTATGACATTCTGTCCACCCAACCCCTAGCAGTCTTTGAAATGTGAGCATAGAGACCAGGCACTGGGGCGGTTCAGGGGTGGTCCCATGTAAAAAGGAGCCGCAGCAGGGCCTTTGGGGGCTCAATTCTGGCTCCTCCATCATCATCATCTCTGTGATTTTAGGCAAGAAATTTGCCCCCTCTGAGCCTCAGTTCCCTCAACTTGAAATGGGGATAATCACTCCTTCTCAGGGTTTCTGGAAGGGTTCAAGGACCTCAACTCCGTCCTTACAGCAAGAAAGCAGGCTATGACAACATGTAAACTGATGGGCGTGCCTGGGTTCCAATAAAACTTTATTTGCTAAATCAGTCGGCTGGCCGGCTCCAGCCTGCAGGCTGCAGTTTGCCAAATCCTAGTCTAAGAGAAGCCTTCGATGCTTTAACACAAGGAAGGGAGTAATGGGGTCACTTCAGGCAATAAGTCAATGGTGGGGGTGGGGGACACAGATTTAAATGCAGAGTGGGGGAAATTTTCCTGATGCTTCTCAAGTCATGCCAGTGAGCTCAAATGTGGGGATTCTCCCATCCAGTCTTCCTTTCCTGGTAAGGTTTGCATCATGATGGAGGGGGAAGAGCACAACCTTGGAGTCTCACAGACTTGGATTCAGATCTTGGCTCTGTTGCTTGCAGCTGGGTAATCCTGGGCAAATCGCTTAACCTCTCTGAGCTGCCCCCCCTTTGCCCCAGCTGTCATGCAGGGATGTTGTGAGGATTGCTCTCATAAAGTGCTTAGCACGGGGGCGTTACACAGGAGGTCCGCAGTAAATCACAGCAGTTTTGTGGTTGTCACCCGTGTGAGTGTGCGCGTCTCTGGGGGGCAGTAGCTGACTCAGTATGGATCTCTCCCCAGCTCCTCAGGCATCCGGGAGGCTGAGCGTTTCGGAACACCCCCAGGGAGGGCCTCCAGCATCACCCGGGCGGGGAAGGAGGAGAACAGCGGTGGTATCAAGTACAAGGCTGGCCGGGTAAGTCACTGGATGCCTTCACCTGTGAGTCCTGCAGCCCAGGGAAGGTCTTTGAACTTTGGTGACCTGACCAATAGTAGCAGATTAGCCTCCAGTCTATGAAAGTGCATGCAATTTGCTTCTGTTCACACAGACTCAGACTGACCCAGATTCCTAAATGGAAGTGTGCAGGCACAGATGGGAGAAGTGGATAATCCAAAAATTCTTCTGTTCATTCAGCAAACATTTTTTGGATACTGATTGTGTTTGAGGCACCATCCTGAGCATGAATGGGAATAAGCATGAATAAATTCCCACCCTTACTCTGACGGTGCACTCAGTCTAGAAGATGCGGTCTCGAATGGAGTGAAAATTGGTTCTTGGGGGAGGGGCAAACCTGTCACTCTCTCTCTCTGTGAAGAACAGGTATACATATGGGACATGAACAGAAGCACGGGGTATCTGTGGTGAAAATTTCATGGTGGGGGTTTCATTAGGGGGAAATATCTTAAAAGGCTCCTTTTTAAGGTAGCAACATTGAACAAAAGGTTGAGGAACACTTGTCTGGAAACAAAAGCAATCGAAGAAATAAAGCGGTACAAAGCGCTATCAGGATTATTCTCATGGAGAGATGTTCAAAATAAGAGATAAATCCTTACTGAGAGCCTAGTGCATATGACCACAATAGCTGCCCTTTGCAAGCACCTCACTGTGTGCTTTACAGATCTGATTGCTACTCTTTACAACTCCTCTGGGAGAAAGGAATTGCTGTTCTCACTTGGAACCTGAGAAAATGGAGTCTCAGAGAGGGCAGGTGACTGGTCCAGGGTCACACAGCTGGGAAGTGGCAGAGCACGGATCCAAACCCTGGTTTGCAGAGTCTCCACAACACCTACTCTTTCTGCCACACCAGGAGGTGCTAGAATATTTCTTCCTGACCTGGGAACGCAGTCAGACTTCACGCCCGTGCTCAAACATTCTCAACTCTCCTCCATTGTACCCATTCTCAACTCTCCTCCCGCTGAGGAGGGAGATGTGAGACTTTTGAGGACCATCAGAAAGACTATATTTTTCCTCACCCTTAGCAACCAACCAGTTCCTTCAGTTGGGAACACGAAGCTCTCTGCTCAGGTTAGCTCACAAAATCCCCTCAGTGCTCTGGGCAGCAGAGTATGATTACTAATAGGGGCACAGAGACGTTAGACAAGACGCTTAAGGTCACACAGCAGTTAGAACGGGGGACCCCACATTCCCCAGATCCCAAACACTCAATTCCTCTTCTCTTCTCCCTACCCTTCCATCTCATTTCTCTCTTCTCAGCTGCCCCTGGGGAAGATAGGAAGGGGCTTCAGCAGCAAAGACCCCGATTTTCATGACGACTATGGCTCCCTTCAAAATGAAGACTGTGGAGACGATGATCCCCAGGGCAGGCCAGAGCAGTGCCGTCCAGAAGGCTACAATGGCCTCGAGGTCACCAACGTGTAAGGAGTGGACGCCCCACCAGACCCAGCACGGACACACCCACCGAGGATGAGTAGCCAGATGCTACCACCACTGTACATAGAGACCCCGCGGGCCGAGGATGCTCCCCTGCCCCCGGGCAAAACCCCAGCAGACTGCTGCAGTTTCAGATGGGGGCTCCAGGGAACAAGGAGGCACCAGCCTGCCTGACTCGAGCTGGTTGTGCACCTTCCTGCTCAGTGGAAGGACCTGTCAGCCCAGCCTCTCTGTCACCTGGGCTCCCCCTCAGAGTGACTGTCAGCCACTGAGCAGTCCAGGCAGTCCCTGGAGCCCTGAACTGAGCTGCCAAGGTGGGAGGAGGCCGGCGGTTCCCCCAAACACCGTCCCAGAAGGAGCAGGCGGGACTCCAACCAAACACATGGTGCTGGGAGCCAGCAAAGCCTGAGGCTGACCGGTGGGCCCTTCTGGCCAGCCCGGTGGAGCTCTCAGCTCCAGCACGCATGCTCCCCATGACTGAGAACTCCGGCTCTGACTTGGGTCACTGAATCTCTCTTGGGAGAATGCACAATGGGATGGTCACTCCCTGCGACCCTAAAAGCTGTGTGTCGCGTGGGGCTGGACATGTAGAAAAGCTATTTGCCTTCTCCTCCCATGAGTGGCTGCACTGGGCCGAGGCAGGTGGATGATCCAGGCAGGGGCGGGGCTTAGCAGTGACATTTCCAGGAAATGCAGATTTCCTGTCATCAGGATAAAGGATATCCTGAGGATAGGATCGGGGATGATGGACTTAGGTCAGTGACAACCAAGAGTGACAGTGGGTTTGGGATTGGGAGCAGGGAAATACTTGTCATTGTTGACCCAACAGACGTTTGTTGTGATGTCTCGGTCACCTGAAACAGGTGTTGATGTGCCCTCATTGAGGTGAATCTTGCAGAGCAACGTCATCAAGGTGGTGGAGAGAACCCCCAGCCCTTTTCCTGACTCTGCCACTGTTCTGCTATGTGGTTTCTTCCCGGTGGCCTCACCTCTCTGTGCCTCAACGTCTTCATCTACAAAACTCCTGGTTCCCTCCCAGGGACGCTGTGAGAATTAACACTTGCTAATGTCTATAACACACTTGGTAACCTCTGAGGAGACAGGTGGGAAGGTATGGGGACAGAAGGAAGCATCCGATTTCCCATTTACGACACAGAACTGACACTGAAGTAGTCCTCTGCAACTGTGTTCTGGTTGGGGCCACATGCAAAAGGAGGACAAGGAATGCCTAATGTTCAGACTCTCTAGAGCCCCCAGTAAGGCTTGACCAAAGAGAGAGAGAAAAAAGTCCACATACACCGTCCTGGAAAATTGTTCCAATCGATGTGTTCAGGATTGAGTCTGTTGACCTTGGTGCTGAGTGATGATTTGGGCGGGATGAAATGCATTGGGGTTCTACGGACACTTGGGTTATCAGAGAGAATCTTTTGTTGGGACCACAACATTGAAGCCATTCGCCCAAGAGTCAGTGAGAGGTCTGAATTTCCAAGACTTGAACAGGTAAGTGTCAGCCTCCGAGAACCGTCAAAGCACATGTTCTTCAACCCAATGAACCGTTTCCCCTCATAGGAAAAGCCTAAACCGAGGCCTGATGAACTTGAGAAGGATTCCTCCCCGACGCTGAAGACCATGGTTTTCTTTCTGACCTTAGGATAAGCACAGATTTTCTTGCCCCTGGAAACCAAACGCCTGGATGGTGGACAGGTGGATGGCCCCCTTTCGTCTGACTATTTAGCCTCCTAGGGTCACATCTCCAATTCCAGGGCCTGAGGGAGAAGCTCTGGTATCTAACATGACTTTGCTGAGGTTCCAAACCCCAGGATCTTAATGACATGCAGCCACACACAGGGCCTGAAGATGCAGAGCCCACAGCCTGGAGGGGGGCTCCCCTCTAACCTGATGCCACAGGTCCCTCCCAAGCCAGCATCCAGGCTGGGTGACCCAGGACCGCAGGATCTGCCTCTTGGGAAGCAGCAAACCAGGTGGGAAATTATTCCCGCAGGGTGAGGAAGGATGGCACGAGGGGGGGCCACGTGCAGCTCTGATTATTTAAAGCCAACATTTGTCAGAAATGAAGCTGGCACTTCCCCCCCTCATTCATTCCCACTGGGGATAAATGGGCAAGTGGACAATTTGGGGGGTTACTGACAGGGATGGCATTGCCCCCCAAATTCGCAGCATTAGGCCAGTAGGCCTGGGGCAATGTGGACAATGTCGAAAGCACATTTCAGTCCAAATGATACCCTAAGGCACATTCTCTCCCACCCGATGCTCCTACCCTTGGCAGCCCCCTGAGTGTTTGGAACTGGCTTTTCAACTTGAGGACAGGTTGGTTGATAAATTAACAACCTCCACACAGAGTCAGATCGGGTGAGCTTTGTCTGCTGAAAAAAAATCCCAGATGTCAGCCCTGCTTCAAGGGTGGGCAAGAAGAGCAGGGGTGCAGAGGGACTTAGCAGAGAGATTCTGGTAGCGAGCTGACCAAGGCTGGCGCGGTGGCAGCCTACAGAACAGTGGCCTGCCATGTCCTGTCCAAAGGGCCCGAGTTGTGGTCTTGGGCCTTGAAGGGTGATAGGGCTTCCAGACCTGGGAAAGCATGAACGTGCTTCCTTGGAGAGGTGTCCTCTGCGCCCGTGGGTGCTAGCCCCTTAAGAAGAGGTAGTTGGTGCCAGGGGTTGGAGAGAACCCCAGTAGGCAGAGACACCCCGTATTTCTCCAAGAAGCTGGGGGCCAGAGCCCTCAGAAGGCACCTGCCCAGCAGACTCTCGGCTTTCTGACCCCAGACCCCTCTGAAAGGCCCCTTTGTCATTAGCTGCGCAAAGCTTCTCTCCTAGAAATCTGTCTGTCTGTCACCAGGGCCCCAGGCTATAGGAGGCAGGAAGAAGCCACATGAAAACCTGGAGCAGATGCGGGAGAAGGGAAGGGGCCTCCGCACAACCCAGCCGGCACGGGAGGGGGGCGGGGGGGCTCAGAACAGTGACCCCACATCTTGAGGTCATCGAGCAGGGCTGCCTGTGGCAGAACGGGAAGATCTGGCAGGATGAGACTTCGGTGTCCGCTGTGGGGGCACCTGGAGCCCTCTATTCCTCCCAGCCTAGCCCGCCCCGCTTCCCGTCAAAACCCGTCCGTGCGGGCACCATCTCCTCCGGCTCCCGGCAGTGGCCCGGGGAGGAACAGAAAGCCTGGGGACACAGCAACTTCCGAAGCCAGCATTATTACCAACAGCTGGCTGGCAAGAAGAATTTCCCAACACAGAGGCAGCTTGTGGTTACAAAGGGAACAAGGTTATCCGTGAGCAGAGGTGATGTCCCTGGCCTTTCAGTTGCTAGTCACAGCCCCGTGTCTTCCCTGGAGTAAATTTTAACACTGTAACAATAAATACTACTGCACAGCGCTCTACTGATCAGGTAGCCTGTTCCTCTTATTTAATCTTGCCAACAGCCGCTTTGAGAGAGATTATTGACCCATTTCCTAGATGGGGAAACTGAGGTTGGGGAGGTGGAGGAGCCTACTCAGCTCCATATAGCTAAGAATTCCCAAGGCAGGGACTCAGACTCAGTCATCTGCCTCCCAACCCCAGGCTCATCCGACCCCGCTGTGAGCTTCCTACCCCCCTGCCATGTCGGTGATCCCACCCCCACCCCCACCTCCCAGCGTAGGATCTACCTCACCAGGTGGCATCACTCAAAGTGGAGCTCAGATGCGCCCTGTCCTGCTGGAAAAGTCTGGGGCCTGCCCTCCCGATCCCGGGATCCCGATGCTGGGAGGGAAGCATCTGACAAGTGACCCCTCCCTTAGCATCAGTCGCTTGCCCGTGTCACTCCTCTCGGGGTACTCATTTTCAGACGGCCAGAACAGATCTCCAGTGATTGTGTCAGGCTGCCGTGACGAAACATCACGGACTGGGGGCTTACACAACAGACATTTGTTTTTCCCAGTTCTGAAGGCTGCGCGTCCGAGATCCAAGTACCAGCTGATGCCGTTCTTGGTGAGGGCTCTTCCTGGTTCGCAGAAGCTCACCCGTGGCTGGGGAATTGATTGCAGACAGTGGTAATATGTGTGGGGGGGGGGCGCTCCCAGAGGACATTTGAACTGAGACCTAAGTTCTGAGGAGCCAGCCCTGCCAAGACCCTGGGGGAAGAACATTCCAGGCCGTCAGAACTAAGCTAGATGCTGAGGATATAGTGGTGAATGAAGTCCTGCCCAGCCTCTGCCCTTGCAGACCTTCCAGTCCAGGGGGGGAAAGAGACACAAACCAACTACTTGAGCAATGTGAGAGTGTAACCATGACTAGTCTTGAGAGCAGAGGTAGCTCGTAGTTGGGAAGGCTTATCACATGGGCATTTAATGTAGTCAAGAGGAGGTGAGGCCTGGATAGAGGAGAGTTCAGCAGGTGAAGAGGAAAGGGAAAAGGATTCTAGATAGCCAGGACACCACGTGCAAAGGTCCTGTGGTAGGAGGGCCAAGAGTAAATTAGGCTGAAAAAGGGCCCACATGGCTGAGAGAAAGAAGTGAAGGGCTCATCTCCTGAGAGTGCTGGAGGGACCCGCTGGGCTCCTGCCCATCTGTGTCACCCTGATTGCAAGCAGTGCTGCCTAACTGGACATGAAGTCTCCACCTTTTGCAGATGGGTCCCTCTTTCCGTTTGCTCTAGCTTGTAGCTAAATTGGGCTCCTCGGGTCACAGAATGACACAATGGGCCCATGAGGTGGCACCAGGGCCTGTCAGGTGACTGACACCAGAGCTGACTTGAGGCCAACAGAGGTGTCAGGTGCCTCTTTCATGACCCCAAGTAGAAATCTGAATGTCTATTTGAAGCCGTGCTGGCCAAAAGGGACCTGGTAGTTCTAGCAGAGTCTCGGGGTGGAATCTTGTTGGCTCAGTGGGATGGGGTCTCCAGCCTACCAGGGGTGGGGGCAGCCCACTGGGTCCAATGTCCTGAGGGATGAGTGTCCGTGGCTCTTAGGGGACTCTGGCAGGGGGGTGCTTTAATGTGGCCCAAAGGCTTTCTCCTTCCCTGATAGAGGTCTCCTCTCCCTCGCAGTGGG